ACAGAAATACAAGAATTATTTCATTTTGTGTTATATTTTGTGTCTGTATGTTTCTCTATCAACTTGTCAGCACGTACATTTCTCTTAATAATGCTGAGGCTACTTTTAGGTATTAGGAAACATAATTCTGGCTATATATTCGTTTTACATAAGGAAGACAAAGTCGTAGGTTACAGTTTAACCGAGAAATAGGAAAACTCAAACATATGAGTGGTTGAACGTGCTATCATAATATTCTATTAAAAACGATTCTGGAGCTCCAGAAAGTTGTTACAATCCCTGTCGCCACGTCATGACATGCTCTTTGAGACAACAGTGCATCTTTGCAATAGTCGTGCAGCATAGTTTCCATTAAAAAAAGGCTTCATCGTAAGGTTGTAATGCCGAAAGAACACATCTCCTCCCTGCAGGCTTTCCGTGAGACGTCTAATGTACAGGGACGACGGTTTCCTAGAGCCAGTTTCATCCTACCCATTACATAAAGATCTATAAGTTGACTTGACTGGCATATCTTCGTATGAAATAACATGAATACCCGTTTCATTCTCTTGGTGTTTGAGGTAGGTGACGGTTGAATGAATACGTCGTGAAAGCAATTTGTGTACATGTATCTTGTATCGCTTTTCCTGACATAAATCCTTATTTATTATGTTCCCTACTATTTTCAGAGCCACGTGGACTAACCTCTGTGTTCGTGGATTCTCACCTGTTACAAGATATTACGTGTGGGGTACGTGTTGTTGCAGGTCTCTTTTTTTTTGAATGGTTCTGATGTCACTAATTACGTCGTAATCCTTTATTTTTCCAATACCGTAAAATGCAAGGAATATACACGTCATAAAAATACAAAATCTTTGGTCTGAACACACTTTTATGATTTGAATGTTTGAATATTTTGAGTTGGAAAGGACTGTTACCTAGCCTTGCCATAAGCGATTGTTTTTTTCTGCGTAAAGCCAAACAATGTTAGAAATGTAGTTCTGATACATGCAGTTTCACCATAACTTGCTCATTGGCATAATCAAAATTGTTTTCATATGAGGTACTCAACTCTCTGTATTCTTAATCTAACAACACTGGCACTACAAGTAATTGACTGTGTGGCAAACATATGAGGTACTCAACTCTCTGTATTCGTAATTTAACAACACTGGCACTATAAGTATTCGACTGTGTGGAAAACATTTTGTTTGCTTGTTTTTAATTGAACACAAAGCTACACAAGGGACTATCTGTGCTCTGCCCACCGCGGGTATCGAAACCAGTATTCTAGCGTTGTAAATCCGCAGACATACCGCTGTGCCACTGGGGGGCGTGGAAAACATTCAGGTTATATTAAAAAATGTTTTAGAAAGTCTTTTTTTTGTTAAGTAATTTTATTTTATTAAACCATGCCGATTTTCAGAAAATCCGATCATAAAATTTCCTTATCATATTTTTGAACTCGGAAAAATGTATGTTTAATACTAATCAACAAAGGACTTTAATATGAAAATATCATAGTATACTGGTCATAAGTCTGAGTTCAAGAAGAAAAATATAACTAATTTTGCTGTAAAGCTTGTAACAAAGAGAAAACGGTGTTTTCTTATTGCTGTGTCTTTTTGTGTTGTATCCACAGTAGCTCACAGGTAAAACTTGAGGGCTTATAGTGCTAAGATTGGAGGTTTGATTCCTCTGAGAAGCAAAGTACAGGTGTAGACTTGTGTTTAACTAACAAACAAAAACTTATGAACTTCTTAAATATTATCGCAATTCATATGAGTTACTGAGCAATATTAAGTTTGTGTTGAGTGAGATGAATTCATCGATACTTGTTTTCGTAGTGCTACAATTAATTTTAATATGTGTTCTAATTCACCAGCATATCATATAAAGTACAGAGAATATCTAGTAAAGTGTTAACATCATTCAAATACGTTGCAACTCTCAACACTGTTAAAGCTGAGAAAAAGAAGAAACCACTTTAACATTAAGTATTGAAAAAGAAGCATAAATTATTACTTTACAAAATGCAAAGAGTAACTAACGATAAATTGTTCTAACAAACGGCGTGTCAAATGGCATGCTCAAAGAACATTAGATATTAGATCATTTTACTAAAATTGAAACTTTAAAGTATAATTAGCGAAAGAGAAGTCGAAGAAAAACAAACAGACGGAAGAATAACATTATTAAAAAAAATCGCCATCAAGTCAACTGAAAACGTCCTCAGAAATGTTGAAATCCTCGTTAATCATTACATTAGAATTATCAGTAAAACTGTTCAAATGAGGAGAGGAAAGGTTTACATGGGTGAGCTTTGTCAAGATTTTAAGCTTTCCAAATGAACATGAAGATTGAAAGAAGAATGAGACAAGACTAACTAGGAATTAAAGAAAGAATGGTACAAAGATTATATATATTTTGGAATATCTTAGGTCATATGAACATATTTTGCTGCAGGAGATAAAGCATTTCAAAGCTGATGATACTGTAATAAAAGGATAGCACAACAACATCCGAACTCGTTATATAGTATCCAGTAGTCAATGCTTAATTGGTCTGTGTAATAATTAAAGTTTTTCACAATCTCTAGGAGAGATGTGATCATGAGAAGTTTAAGTAAGTCTGTGTAAGCATAACAGTGAAACATGATGGGGGTAGATAATTATGTGAAGATGTATTGCTGGAGGAAAGGGATTTACTTTCCTTGTTGATGATATTATGAAGAAAGAATAGTAGAATAAAAACATTCTGAATAAAAGCTATCTGATGGAGAAAGAAAGAGCTAATGGGCTGACGTGTTCAAAGTTCCGGAACGAATCCATTTGAAAAGTTGTGGCACTATTTGAAAAGTAATATTGCAAAACATAAGTAAAGGTAACCTACGACAATATTCCGAGATTGCACAATTAAGAAAATGCAGTTAGATAGTCTTAAAACGAACTAGAAGCATTCATACTTGAGGAAGACCTACTAACTATAAATTATTCAATTTGTTATGTTCTAAATTGAACATTTATGCCAGATATAGTAATATATGAGTTTAGGTATACGTTAAACCAAGACCACATTTTTCATTTGTTATGGCGTGTACGTATTTTAGAAGCGGGCGAAGAATGATTATAATTATATTTGTCATAAGACATCAGTATTAGGCCTATTACGTTTTTAAACAATACATTCTTAACCTGATCCCTTAAAAATGTAATAAGCCTAATACTGATGTCTTATGTCAAATATAATCGTAAACATTTTTCATTTGCCAGCTTTCTTGAAAACTTGAGTTTTAACACCTTGAACATAAGAGTTATGCCTGGTAACGTGTCTACGTACATGTGTTGCATGTAAAAATATATTTGTATATATGTTCCCTAGTGACTTAGCTGTAAATTTGCGGGCTTACTCGCTAAACATCGGGTTTCGATGAGATGAGTATAGATAACCCATTGGTGTATCTTTGAACAACCAGACCTATTTATGTACGTAACCCATTGCTGTATCTTTGAACAACCAGACCTATTTATGTACGTGCGTCTTTAATAACGTACATATTATATAGTCGATAATATGAAGGAAAAAAAGACTCAAGTGATGATATAAAATATATTGTTGATTTTCTTTAACTATTAAACTAATTGAAATGACTGTTTATTAACACTACTTTGTATAAAACATGAAAGTTATTTTAAGCCATTGAATATTAAATAAAATGCTTTCCTTATGCCTCTGTTATGAGTTCGTACTATACAAAATATAGTGGTCGTGAAAATACTTAAAACTGGTTTTGTAATTTTAGTATATGTTCACCATAAATGAAATAAAACACATTTTGTAGGCTATAAATATGCCTTTAACCTGACAGAGCATAGTTAGCTTCACAGATCCTGTACTATTAGGGCACTGTTGTCAAATGAATTATTCTAAGAAATTGATGTACTGGATAAAACGTAGAAACGAAACGTTTTTATGTGGTATTCTCCTTTTTCTACCTTCAGAATAGTATAAAGCGAAAATTCATTGTACACAATGAAGCTCTCTTACAGGCTCGCCCTGACCTAAGCAATAGAAAAGGTAGTACAATAAATATAGTAAAATATATTCTAGTTTTGTGAAACACGGTCCATCCTTTGGGCAATTCGGAAGTGAATAAAAATTTAATAATTTAAGTTTATCGTTTCACAGAGGAAAACAACCAATAATTTGGAAGGAATCAAACGTGTGAAATAATATGGAACAAATATAAAAACATAGTGTAAACTTATTATCCAAGCAATTTCTTGGATGAGATAGGGTTACTTAGTTTGTTTAGGAATAACATATTCATATCTAATGTTTTCGCAGTACACTGAAGCCCCCTGTCGGAGATAGTCTCATTGAGCAACGCGACACGAGGTCTGAGACTCCCTGAACTTGCGATCCACCAGTAATACCACCGTGATGTTACCGTTAAGTCGTGCTGTTGAAACCCGTGACAATGTCGGTAACAAAATGTGGGCTTGGTAAGAAGAAAGGCCTTTACGCACACAATATAGTTGCTTGCGAAGTTTCATATAAACTGGTAGTTTAGTTATTATAGTGGACTGGAAGTTTTATTATACGTTTTACCAAGTTTATCAGAGAACCACGTGATTCAGAACTTCGAGTTTCGACAGTAATCAGACGGACTTTTATCACATAATGATCTTTCCAAGTGAAGAACTGCGGCATTCGCTTATTGAAATCTTTTGGTAGATGTAACTTGGTGTTTTCTAAGATATGTTGATTTTTAACTGGTGTCCAGCGGTGCAAGTCCTTTTGTTTCTTGTGGCATTAGGAGCTATAAATGATGCTACATCTACAGTCAAAATAGGTACGACTTATATGTATCTCTTCTCTTCCTAGAATTTAAAGATATAAACATTTCTGGTACTATTAAGAGTGTAATATATCTCTTTTTTCTAAAATCATCTTCATTCAATTATGTAAAACTAAAAACATTATTCGTATGGAAAAGTTGAATATATATATACTGAGATATAGAGCAAGTAACAGACAATTAGAACTACACACACACATACACACAGAACACACAATAGGAATGAGTGCAAGACAGAAAGAGTAGATATATTGTTTTCCTTATTTAACTTTGAATTTTTGTAGATTGGTGAAATGAGGTGCGATATTCCCAAAGGACAGTAAAATAGTTTTTGGATCATTTTAACATGAGGCGCAAAAACAAAAACAAGTATTTGCTTATAGTTATATGATGTAAATAAGATGACAGACCAAAACATTCTTATACATATTATGGCCTTATAACAATTGTTCTTTACAGTTTGCATTGCGGATTGTGGTGGAGATCATTGTTGATTAGGTTTTCAGTAAGATTTAGGGCTAGAAAGTCAGTAAAAACATTTTAATTTGGAGTTTAATACAGGAAAACAATAATTAGGCATCTAGTCTAATTTTGCACAGCCATATCGTCCACTGGCGACTGGTGGGTGATTGGTGCTATTGCTTTGAAAGAAGTTTGTTTGTTTGTTTTTGGAATTTCGCGCAAAGCTACACGAGGGCTATCTGCGCTAGCCGTCCCTAATTTAGCAGTGTAAGACTAGAGGGAAGGCAGCTAGTCATCACCACCCACCGCC